GACTGCAGGTGCAAAAAGAATGGCTTTATCAAGAGCACCTGAACGTGTAGAAGAGAGGCAGATTTGTCTAGACAAGCAACATATAATACAAGCAGAATTAAGCGCATCTGAGAGTCAAGACCAGAGACAGACATGGCTCGAAAATCTGCACTACTATTTTTCTACATTTTGTTCCTCCACTTTCCCGAGCAACACCAGGTAACTCCAGCTAGTAATATCATAAAGAATGTAGTAAGGAACATCTAATTTAATCATACACATTACTATGATTGCAGCTGACTGTCTTGGTTTGCTGCAATAGATACTGCATTTTTAAATGTTAAAGCTGAGTTTAAAATAAAAGATTTTGTAATACAGCAGTAAAAAATAGATGTAGATTTTAAGCCATATCTACACAGCCCCAGGGTTTGATCTATAGGGGTATGACTTTTCAGTTCATGCTATCATGCTATACTATAACTCCCCAGTGAGTGCTGGCATGAACAAAAAGGTCCTTTCTAAACAGGACTATGTTAACATCAACCCTGTATTTTTTATTTGTGCCTTTAATGTTCACACAGAGGAGTTACTACACATCACTCTAGGACACATTGCAATTAAGACACTTCAGTTCTGAAACAAAGAGTAAGTTGGAATTTTTATGAATAGTTTTATATAAAAGTGTTATATTTATTGACTGTAAGGTCCTTGCAAAATTTTTCCTTATTCGTCCTAAGTTTTCTTTTCTGTGTCAAAGTAACGGGTTCAATTTTCTATGGCTTCAGTAGTGCTGCCATTCCTACTCTGAGGAACAGAGTTCCTGCTCCTAGTTTTTTCACCCACTCAGATCAGGTTGTAGACTCAGGAATCTCAGTGCCCCAAGTCTCACCCAAGGTGGGTGCTTTTTTATTAAAAAACCCCTCTACTCCTGCTCCTCCAAAAGGCACCTGTGATAGGGCGTCCCAGCTCCGCACTGAGGCCAAGGGAATGGCCTTGGCCCAGCTGGCCAAGAAGGCCCCTGCCCCCACAGCCCTGCTGGGCGTGCTCCCACTGGAGACAAACTATAAAAGCCTCTGGTGCAGCTCAGTTGGGGCAGACCGCCAGAGGGGAAGGAGCTCAGGCCCGTGCTCCAGAACAGGCCCAGCAGCAGCTGCCTCAGCCCCAGCAGCAGCCTCAGTGGCCCCCGTGACAGCCCCAGCCAGGGAGGCTGTTTGGGAGGGGACTGTTTGGGAGGGGAGGGCCCACCGAGGGCCCACCCCGCTGAGCGACGCCATGGGAGCCGTGCAGCACCCCAGAAATGATAGGAAGGAGCCCAGGGCGGAGGATTGTCCTTCGGGAGCTCGGCGTGTTTCCTCCACTGCCAACAGGGCCCTGGGCTGGGACCGGTGGAACAGGAGGGCCTGGGTCTTCCTCCCCCTCCTCCACTCTGCTTGAGGGAACTGTACTTTAGGACTAGGCCTCAGGGCTGTATATACTCTGCTAGAGGAGACTATGTTTTGGACCAGGCCAGAAAGCCATATAGACCCGGATAGAGGGGACTGCGCTTTGAACTAGGCTGGAAAGCTGTATGTACCCTGATAGAGGGACATTAACTATAAACGAGCTGGGTTGGCCCAGCGAAAAGGGAGTCCTAACCCAGGCATTGGGGAGTTCTAGACAGTTGAGGGGGCTTGCCCCTCGACTGCACCAACATGCATTAATTTGTTCAGTGTTACATATTTGTTCATGTTTATGTTATTAGTAAGTTAGTTCTATTTCTCTGTTCCTTCCTTATGGACTGCACCTTGCCATGCTGGGAAGAGTTTACTTTCCAGTGATCACAAAGGAAAATACTTGCAGGAGATTTAATCATGGGGCTTATCACAATCTGGGGAGAAACATTGGTGCAGAAAACTCTTGTGTCCAACCATCAAAGTAAGGAGAAGTTTGTGGCCACTGTTAAGCAGATTTCCATGAGCGAGCATGACTTGGGTGCATCAACCAGTGCCAGATAGAGAACAAACTCAACCTACATCAAAACCATGAAAAAATGCAGCTGGAGACCTGTGATTTCTCCATTTTTTAAAGCGCTGGGCAGGATATTGCACAATTACATTGCCATCCAACACAGGAAGCAGTGGAATGGGCT